AAAAACGGATTGTTTTTTTTTCACGTTACATCTCTACATATGACACATTCAATTTTTTTGACAAATTAAAATGAATGACTTCTGGTTTAAGAACCGATGGACGTTTTTGACGACATTGATTTGTTTCAGTCAATTTTTATTTGTTAAACAAGGAAGACAAATGCTGGTGGCAAGTACAAACCCTGGCGAAACAAACTTTAGGTACCTTGATAGGTACAGAGTACAAATCAAGTAGGCATATTATTTTTATTAAAATATGTTTTTCTCAAGCTTTTTCTGCATAAGTAGACTAGCTGTAAAAAGTTGAAAACATTTTAATAATATTATGAGAAAAACAACAACGGACAGTTAGGATTACCCTCGGGATTACCTTTGTGGAATGTATGTAGAATTTTACCCAGACCAGGGGTACGCTTTTATTGCTGCCTTAGACCATATTATTCTTTTAAATCCCCTGCTATGGTACGCTCGGCCAGCCATACCGTCTGTAGCCACCAGAATCAATTAACATCAAGTTGAAAGTGAACTGGCAAAGAAGCTGCTGCCTTGTAGCTGTATGTTGAATCATCAAAGGCTAGAGGAAGACAACCTTGATCACAAATTACCTGGTCCTCCTGGTAGGGGGTTGAGGCATCTGGCTAACTCCCCGTTACTCGGAACAAAATTTAAACTGTTAAATGACCCAATCAACAGCCTCGGAACAGGACTGAAAAACGAAGACGAACTAGGCAACGGAAACGGACAATGAGTATCGGTACATGGAACGTCCAAGGAATCTCTAGAAAATTGAATGATGTGATATCAGAGGTAAAATATCAAAAAATCGACCTGCTTGTCGCCACAGAGACCAAAAAGAAAGGACAGGGCTCAGAAAATCTGGGAGAGTACGATCACTTCTTTAGCGGGGTTCAAAAAGAACTCAGAGCGAAGAAAGGAGTCTCGATCTTCATACACAGAAAATGGAGAAAACATATAACATCATGGGAAGCAGTAAATGAAACCATAATAAAACTAAATGTATGTATGTTCGGGAGGAAAATAACAATCTTGGGAATATATGGAGTGAACGATGACAAACCCGTTTATATAAAGGATCCATTTTATCAACAACTCAGTGACCAAATCATAAAAGTAGGAACTTCAAGGGAAATAATATTGTTGGGAGACTTTAACAGACGAACAGGAAGAAAAATCAACGACAAGGTGGTCAGAAAATTCGGAGAGAATGTAACGAATAACAATGGAGAAAGGCTCATAGAAACATGCCAACAAAATAACCTAAAAATCCTAAACAGTTACTTTCAGCATAAAGAAATACATAGGTACAGGGTGCTGCAATTTGGAGTGTTTTAACAGGAAAAACACACTTCCAGACCAGATAGAGGAAAATTGACTTAGATGTCATGGGATCGATTTTCGAGAAACGTCGATTGTTAAAAACCGTATCGCGATATCTTCAGCGATACCATTAATACAGGTCGATTTTCGATTTTCCCCTATTATGAAAAATGGCTATAAGTTTTTTATTTATCAATTTTTTTCATTTCTGTAAAAACATTATGGAGACACTTTTTTGAGCAAAATCCAGTGGCGGACTCGGTTTTTTTCTATATCGCTCCGATTTCGAGATCTCGACCAAATTCCGATATTTTCAAATGAAACATCCTTTATATTACTAGCTCATTGGATAGCTCTGTTTTTGCTGATTTCAATGATATAAAGTTCGATAGGTTTATCTCTAACAGTTTTCCAAAAAAAAATTATATCTGTTTCAGTCATAAGAAACAATGTGTTAGAAAGAGACCTTTCTCACTTTCCTTACACATATAAAATCCTTTTCTAACACATTGGTCCTTACGACAAAAACAAATATAATTTTTTTTCTCGAAAACTATTAGAGATAAACCTATCGAACTTTATATCATTAAAATCAGCAAAAACAGAGCTATCCAATGAGCTATTAATATATAGGGAGTTTCATTTGAAAATATCGGAATTTGCTCGATATCTCGAAATCGGAGGGATATCGAAAAAAATCGAGTCCGCCACTGGATTGTGCTCAAAAAAGTGTCTCCATAATGTTTTTACAGAAATTAAAAAAATTGATAAATAAAAAACTTATAGCCATTTTTCATAATAGGGGAAAATCGAAAATCGCCCTGTATTAATGGTATCATTGAAGATATCGCGATACGGTTTTTGACAATCGACGTTTCTCGAAAATCGATCCCATGACATCTAAGTCAATTTTCCTCTATCTGGTCTGGAAGTACGTTTTTCCTGTTGAAACACTCCAAATTGCAGCACCCTGTACACATGGAAAAATGAAACTAGACAACAAAAATCTATTATTGACTACACTATCGCAAAACAGAGCTCGAAAATAAAATTCCAGGATGTGAGAGCATATAGGGGAGCGACCTGTGGTAGCGATCACTATCTCCTAAAAACAAAAATCTTTAACCCGGACAGAAACACTGCAAAAGAAAACGGAATGAAAAACCAAGAAGAAAATATTGTGTCTGAGAAATACAACTTAAAATCTCTAGAAGAGCAAAGCGTAACAGGGTTGTACATGAAGAGATTAGATCAAAAATTACAGAGTAGTATGAACTTCCAAAACCTTGAAATGCATTACCAACATATCAAAGAGAGTATTCACAGTGCAGCATTTGAAGCCCTTGGCAAATATGAAAAAAATAGAAGTAGACCCATACCTTATTTGTGGGACCAAGAAATAGTGAAAGGCATAGAAGATAAAAGGAAGAAATACCAACAGTATCTAACTTCAAATAAGAGACGAGACAAAGAAATATATAAAGAAGCAGAAGCAAGAGTACGGAATAAAATAGTGAACAAAAAGAACGAGTTATGGGAAAGAAACTGTGCGCATATCAATACTTATCTGGGGGGTAAAAGAAACAGAAAGTTGGAGATTACTCAAAAACATGAGGAAAACACAAACTAAGGATATTATCAATACAATAACACCCCAGCAATGGGAAGAGTACTTTGAAACATGAAACATAAAAACTGCAGGATCACCAATACGAGTTATGCAAGAAGAAGTTAAAAAACACTGCGGCTTCTTGAAAAATGGTAGGGCACCAGGCCCAGGAGAAATATATGGAGAACTGATAAAGTGTGGGACCAATAAACTCTACAAACATTTAACAAAACTATTTCAAACATGCATAGATAAACATAAAGTGCCGGAAGAGTGAATATAGCTATTTAACAATGATATATAAGAAAGGAGACGAAAACAAATGCGAGTACCACTGAGGAATTGCAGTAACAAATACGCTAAGTGTATGGAAAACTTATAGAAGCCAGAATAGAGAACGAGTACAAAGATAGTGAGGCAGAAGAACAGGCCGGTTTTAGAGCAGGAAGATCAACTGTAGACCATTTATTCAGTTTGACCCAGACTTTTTGTCGATCTAAAGAAAGCATACGACAATGTTCTGCTGAAAAAGCTTTGGGGAGCACTGGAAAAGACCAATATCAACTTAGAACTAATAAAGGCACTAAAAACGCTATATAGTGATGCAAAGACCAAGATTAAACAGGGAAACTTAATCAGTAAAGGACTTAAACAGGGATGCTGCATATCACCAACACTTTTTAAAATAAACTTAGAACAAGCGCTCAAAGGGTGGAAAAACAAATGTAGACACATGGGAATACCGCTCAATGAATACAATCTTTATACTTTAAGCTTTGCAGATGATCAAGTATTAATTGCACAGGACTATGATGACAGTACATGACACGAAAATTGATAGAGGAGTACGAGAAATGGGGTTTGGAAGTAAATCTAACGAAAACAGAATATATGACTATAGGAGGTGAACAAGGAAATCTGAAACTGAATAACGAAATAAAACAATGTACTGAATACAAATATTTGGGCATGAAAATCTCACATGAGGGAACCCTAGAAAAAGCAATTAAAGATCGGAATATACAAGGGTGCAATGCAATATCCCTACTGAATGGTGTACTGTGGGATCAAAATATCAACAAAACGAGAATATACAACACCATAGTCAAAAGCATAGTCACTTATAGTTCAGAAGTCCGGCCACTAAAGATCAGAACCGCAAAAATGCTAGAAGCAACTGAAATGGACTTTTGGAAGAGATCGGTAGGCAGGTTAAAAATAGAAAGGATAACAAATCTGAGAATTAGGGAGATTATGGACGTAAAACACACAATAATAGATGATATCAAGGACAAACAGCTGATTTGGTTCGGAAATGTACAAAGAATGGCAGATACAAGAATACCCAAGCAAATAATTGAGTGGAAGCCAGGGGGAAGAAGACGCGGCAGACCAAGAAGAAGCTGGAGAAGCGGAGTAGACAAGGAAATGAAAGACAGAGGCTTAGAAGAGGATGCCTGGATTGACAGAGATGGTTGGCGATTGGGAATCGGAAGACGTAGAACGTTATAAACCGATAATTATATATGTAGAATTTACAATGACATCCAACATAGCGTAGATGGTAAATATAAGTAATACCTATAACAGGTTTTTGTGAATTATTAAAGAGGCATTGTAATACTTATTGAATTATAAGGACCTAAAAATGTGAATTGCTTAAAATTTTGTACCAAATATATCAAAAGTTATCTTTATTTAATCCTGATAAAAAATATAGATAGTAATATATGTAGACGTTTATATTTAGATTTAAAACTCCTTAAAAAGTGTTCAGTCAGCACCTATAAAAATATAGGTAGGTATTTTTGGATTAGGATGAGACCATAGACAGGAAACAAATCTCTTTAGAGATCAATAATTTGTTCTGCCTGGATGATAATTTCGTTGGCAAATGGGAACAGATCCAAGTCCAAAATCGGGTAGTTTACTGAGATTTTGAAATGATACCGAGGGCCAAGGGGAAGAATAGCCGCCATTCATTTCAGCATGCCATTTTGAAAAACTTCTTCGAAGCAAAAAAAAAATCCATCGGTGTCGCAAATAAACGTACCTGAGCCTGAGAACTCGAAGCTGTGCCGTTGTTCGCCATTTCCCTGTCCGTGTTGGTACTTTTTCTTGCCTCGAGCTTCCGTTTTTTAGTTGGGGGATCGACGGAGCTGTCTGCGTTTTCAGCACTAGACATCGGACACGCAAGGACACTATTAATTAGTTTTCCCGTTTAGCGCAGCGTTTTTCGAACTTGTTAACATGCAAAACCGGCATGTACCCTGTCCCTCTTGCTAAATTATTTGTAAAATATGACTAATCACTAATTCTAATCAGTAATCATGAACAAAGAGAAGGATCCTAAAAAAAGCGCACGCGTATGTAGTTGTCTGTCAGTCCAGTCAGTGTACTGTCAAGATTTGTCGCTGGTAAGTCAATTGTCATACTTCGCTTATAGCTTTTTTCATTTATTCCACTACTCCAGGGTTGCGTTCAGGAATGGCTAAAGCCAAGCCAAAATTGGCATTTTGCGTTCGAGTTCGGCTCCAACCTACGTGATGCGGCATTACCGGCGGAGGGGGAAAAGTAAGTTTTGGCATTAGCATTGCCGTCTTTGAACGCACCCCAGTGCAACTCTTATTTAATTTGACTCCATCCGTTTTAAATTCAGTGCAGTTATGTTTGCATCTGTACCCAGTACCGTGTTCTAGATTGGTTCACCGAGTAGTTTTTCTTGCACAAAGACATCAAGGACCGGTTTCTCAATAGTTGTATTCCTTTCACACCTAGGAGGAGCTCCGGAACAGCTCCGGGGCTTCACGCGCTTATTCCTTTCGAAAAGTGTTTGATGCACCACGCATCTGTTCCCTGCAAATCGGGGGCGACTGAACACCGGAGCGAGTAGCTCGAGTGTTTCAAACTCTTGAAAGGAATACAACTAATAGCAACTAGCAAGTCACCCCCGGGTTAAACATAACTCCAGGGTAAACATTGCAACCTAGACACGATTACCCTGGAGTTAAAACCAACCCGGAAGTGACCCAATATAGAGCTATAGCGTTTTCCATTTGTCGAACCAGTGCAAAAAAAAATGTATTCTTTATCCTTACATATTACATGCTTTTAGCTTTTAGAAAAAGATTTGGATACACTCAGTGCGTCTAAGCTCAGTGCGCACTGATTGACAAATGGAAATCGCCATTTTTTTTTTTTTATCTCCGGGTTGGTTTTAACTCCAGAGTAAACGTGTCTAGTTGCAAATGTTTACCCCTGAATTATGCTCAATCCGAGGGTGACTTGCTATTATTTGTATTCTTCTCACGAGTTTAGAACTCTAGAGCTACTCGCTCCGGTGTTAGTCGACCCGGATTTGAAAGGAACAGATGCGCTGGCTTTCGTGCATTGAATGGTTTGGGGTCGGGTTTGAACTCTTTTCGGAAGGAAAAAGTGCGTAATGCCCCGGAGCTGTTCCGTAGCTCGTCCTAGGTTTGAAAGGAATACAACTAAAATCGTTTTTTTTTTTTTTTAAGATAATTGACCTTTTGTTTGGACGCCATATTGAGGTGCGCGAACATAGTTGCCAACAGTAGAAAAAAAAATGACTAGCGTTCTGTCAACCTTAAAATCCAATGTTAGTGAATAAATTACATTCAAAATTTAAATTTGCCGCCTATTACGAATGTTTTTGGAAAGGAAAGCCATCAATTTTAGCTTGTATTGGGCAGAATAGAAATAATAAAATATCTAGTTGACAGCCCGCTAGTAATTTTTGGTTTTCTTGTTTTGGCAACTATGTTCGCGCACCGCAATATGGCGTCTAAACAAAAGGTCAATTGACCTTTTGTTTCGACGCCATATTGCGGTGCGCGAAAATAGTTGCCAAAACAAGAAAACCAAAAATTATTAGCGGGCTGTCAACTAGATATTTTATTATTTCTATTCTGCCCAATACAACCTAAAATTGACTGCTTTTCTTTCCAAAAACATTCGTAATAGGCGGCAAATTTAAATTTTAAATGTAATTTATTCACTAACTTTTGATTTTAAAGTTGACAGAACGCTAGTAATTTTTTTTCTCTACTGTTGGCTACTATGTTCGCGCACCGCAATATGGCGTTCAAACAAAAGGTCAATTGACCTTTTGTTTGGACGCCATATTGCAATGCGCGAACATAGTTGCCAAAAGAAGAAAACAAAAATTACCAGCGGGCTGTCAACATTAAAAACGAAAGTAACTAAATGATTGATCCTCGCTATCCTTTTTGTTTGTTTACTTTCTCTCTCTGATTGATGAAAGTAAATGAGTAGATATTTTATTATTTCTATTTTGCCCAATACAAGCTAAAATTGATGGCTTTTCTTTTCAAAAACATTCGTAATAGGCGGCAAATTTAAATTTTAAATGTAATTTATTTAGTAACTTTTGTTTTTAATGTTGACAGTACGCTAGTTATTTTTTTTTTCTACTTTTGGTAACTATGTTCGCGCACCGCAATATGGCGTTCAAACAAAAGGTCAATTCCCCAAGTCTATGTTGGCAACACAAGCCTTTTCTACATGAAAAATTTGAAAGCATTGACAATTTTACATTGTATTGCCAACATAATGTCAGTTTGACTTTTATCTTTAAAAAAAAACACACTTCACTATACAACTTGAGGTGGGTTCGGCTTGCTCTCACTCCGTGCACTCCGAGTGACTCCATTCGCACTCCAGCCGTTCGGGTATTGCATTTTACCGTATTAGGGGTGACTCCGTTAGCTCTGTTCACTCCACTCCAACTCCGCGCAGAATAGCCGAACCCAGCTTTAATAGTTGTATTCTTTCCACGCTTAGGAGGAGCTCCGGAACAGCTCCGGGGTGTTACGCGCTTATTTCTTTCGAAAAGTGTTTGTTGCGCCTAAAGTGTTCCAGCCCGACCTCAAACCATCCAATGCACGAACGCAAGCGTATCTGGGGTGCGATTTTCGAAACCATTCGAGTACATTTCGTACACGAAATTTGACTGACAGCAATGTAAATTAAATGGGGAGCAGTCAAATTTCGTGTACGAAATGTACTCGAATGGTCTCGAAAATCGCACCCCTGTTCCTTTCAAATCGGGGTCGACTAACACTAGAGCGAGTAGCTCTAGTATTCTACTCTTGAAAGCAATTACAACTATTGCGAAACTGGCCCTTAAAAAATTAAAAAAGGGATTATCGATATTCAGTTATCGATAAAATATGAGAAAATATCGATACGATATTTCTGATGTGTTTTATGGTTTGGCGGCAAATTCGAAAATTTCGATATGAAACGCAAAAAGAGTTGGATCGTGATGACAGAATATCGCAAAAAAGTTATCAGAAAGTGTTCAGAACGATATTTAGGTACTGTCTACGAATTTTGGAGCAAGAACAACTAAAAATAGGAAATTCCTTATTTTTTGTCATTGATCTCTCATCAAAATTAATATCTTTGGTTATTAGTTAAGGGCCGGTTTATTCTTCTTCTGATAAACTGACAGGTATGCAATCTGACGGATGAAAACGCAATCTGTAATCCCATTGGTCGGCCAGCTATCCGTAGACCAATAGAATTATAGAACGGTAAATTTGTCTTGCAGATAGTTACCAGCAAGTTTATCTATGGCTTCTATTTTAGCCCTGTATTATTGAAATATTTTTTTCCTACGAGCGTGCGGAAGACGCGTTTTCACGCACCGATTTGCGTGTGGAAAGTATCTCTTTTCCTCACCATGATGCGTGAAAAAATCTTACCGCACCGACGTACGTGAAAAAAGTATCTATCCGCACTAACGGCTTGCATGAACTCCGCCGGCGCGACGTTGGTGTAAAAATCGTTGCGTGCGAAAAAGTATAACTTTCCTTTTGGAACCTGTCAGGTATAGGGTATAGTATATTTCCTAACTACACCATTTCAACCTCAATTTCGGAAAATGTTAAATAGAGATACCCCAACAGAACAGTTTGGTGTGCAATCTCTATTGAGAAAAAATACAGACCATTTTCATTGATGAATCAATGATAACAGAAACTGTATACACTGATACCTATGTTCTCTTTCCCACAGTTAAGACGGGAGGTTATTTTGGACGATATCTATTTGCAGCAGATTGGTGCCCCCACCTCATTATTATTTACTACATTCAATGACACCTGATTTTTTTGACATATTTTTAACTGGCATTAGCGGCATTTCTCGCCAACGTAATAATGCGAATGCGGGCGCTGACGTTATATGACGCATTTCCTTTTTTTGGTCCTGGTCTACTAAGCTCCTGACGGAGCTAGCGTTGTATGCCGTCGATTTAGCGTATATTTGGCGTTACTGGTGTAAGGGTGCCGTATTGGAAACCCAAAAATATATATTTAGAATGGATAGTATGGATAGTATAATTACCGTGTCAATAGCAAGGGAATCCTAGATATGCTATTTGGGGAAAGACGGATAATGACAGCTGGTCCTATAGAATGGACACCTTACTCTCCTGACTTGAGAGTTCTAGACTTTTTTCTCTGGGGTTATGTCAAGAAAAGATGCGGTAATAGGTACTTTGCTCAAATAGCCTGGAAGATCCTAAGCGGAACATTCGTAATGTCATTGAAGCGATTTTCTAGGAAATGTTACACAATTCATTCAACCATTTACTGATCCATTAATGCCTGGAACAGAATGGCTAGCATATACAGGGTGTCCCAACCGAGAGTGACCCATTTTAAATGCTTATAACTTTTAAACCAGGTGTGCTAGCTACCTGCAGTTTGCGCCATTCGAAACACCAAGATTTCGATTTTGATTTTTTACGGCTAAAACTTCAAGTTTTAGGGACGATGTCTATTGGTACATAGATGGATACCTTGAACATGAATCTTTTTTTTTGAAGTTGTGATATACAGGTTGTTCCATTAGAAATAGTGGAGAATTTCAAACCGGATTTTTTTTTTAATCGCCTTGTATAAGTTTCAAACAAATTTGCAACCTGCTTGAAAAACTTTAGGCCAAGACAAATCAAATGGCACAAACCTCAGGTAGCTAGCACACCTGGTTTAAAAGTTATAGGCATTTAAAATGGGCCACTCTCGGCTGGGACACTCTGTATTTCGAAGGCAGAGAGAAAAGTATTACACAATTGTCCACTCTCAGCATTTAATTTCAGTTTCTGTGTATTGAAAGATAGGTAATAATTGTCGAACTTTCATTCTGTCCGCATTTAGGGCCCATTTATAAACTTGACGTTGCAATTCCGTTACCGTTTGCGCCTGCCGTTGTGAACATAAAATATAGGATTCTATAAGATCGTTTATATTCGCGGTCGGCCTCACCGTCCGCCGTTAGCTCTGCCGTTGCATTCCGTCAGACATAAACCAA